CATGAGTGCACTGAGGAGAGAGCAGGACTGCACAGTGCCACGAGCTGGGTGAGAGTTTCCAGCCGCGCTGCTGCAGGGAGCACCCAGGCCAGCACATGGGTTTGCAACGTGGATGTAAACAACTCACAAGCTCCTTCCTCCAGCTCAGCTCACCCCACAGTGAGTAGCTGATGTGTCCGTGCACTGCCAGGCAGGTTGGGATTTTGGGCACCTCTGGCATCCCCCATGTCAGAGCAGTGTGAGGAAAGACATTTCTGGGCTGCCTCATGGTTCTGGGAGACAGGCTTGCTTCAAGTTGCTGTTCAGTGACAGTGAAGCCAGCTGTGTCTGCAGAAAGGTGGACCACACGATGCAAATAGAAGGTTATGGCATCCACCTCCCACTATGAGCTCCCCTGCAGCTCCAACCATCCAGAGAGAGGCTGCCTCCAACCCAGCCTGTTCCACCAGCTTGGAGTTTATCCCTGCAATAGGTGGAAGACAAGAACAAATACCAGGCAAGGACTAGCTGTATGTAATTATTCCCGACACACACAACCTGATACCTTACAGCCCAGGGGCTGGGCAGGAGGTACAGTTCATAGGCAGTGTGCTCCAGAGACTGCTGCTCTTGATGAAAACTCCACATTTCACCTTTGCCCTCTGCATTTTCCTCACACAGGGGCAGGAAAAAACACAGCACAGCTTCCAAGATAGCAAAGCGGGTCCTATAAAACACATTCTAACACTTCTTAAATGCTTTAATCCTCTTAACACTGAATGACAGTTCTTAGAGGGTGTTTTTTTTACTTCTATCTTAGATACACATCTGGACAGCATTAACACTTAGTCTTTCACTGTGCGTTCCCTGACAACCTTGTCCGTGCCATGCCAATTCTAGCTGTGGAGCAGGCAGACTTTGGCATAAGAGAAATAAATATCTAGAGGAGTACTAAGGATACCATTTATTTTCAAAATCACTAAAAAACCCAAACAAAACAGTTTATGGAGATACAGATTTACATAACAGAGACAGCAAATTGAAAAATGTACAATCTATTTCATGTTATTGCACTCACTTTTTTATAATATACAAGGCATATTAAACAGTTTTCATTAAGAAGTTTTATTTATATAAATAAAAGTGTAAATATACAATATCATACAATAAGTGTATCAGCCTAACACACAAAAACTAAGTACAGTGGGATCCCCATGTCTCACATGATCTAGTCTACTGCTCATCAATATTTCCACTTGTACATTTACATACCCTAAACATAGAAGCAGGTAAATATCCCCATCTGCAAGCAGTTCCTTCTGATTTTAACAAGAACCACTGCAGAACATTAACTAGAGTTAATTTTAAGCGAAGATCATTAGAAAATACGAATCACTCAACAGGTTTCTTAATACTTATCTGAACTCATATTATTTTTTTTAGCAAGAAAATAATCAGATGTTGTTCCCTCCTTAATTCAGCCCTCATCTCACAGTTTTTAATACAGATGCAGTCCCCACAGAATCCAGAAAGAATTCCCAGGTTTAAAAGGCTGCAGAATATGCAATGGCAGTATCACACTGGAGCCTGCTCTCATATCCATGATGCACACTCTGAGCTGCCCCAGGCCTGGAAATGGCAAAGCCATCCACCAGACCTTCTCCATCTAGGAGTAAATTCACCTTATCTGGAATGCCTTCAGGTCCCTGGTAGAGTTGTGGACCAACTGCATAACTTCATCCTGATTTTTTTTGGTCTTCCATGATGCAGCTGCAATCTCCTTAGAGTCAACGCTCTCCTAGAGCTTGGCCAACCCTCTGGCATGGCAAAGCATCACCATGGGGACTGATATGCAGACAGCATGACTGACATGCAAACAGCTCACGAACCTACTGAATATTGATGAACTAATGCAACACCCTCTGTCACCTTAGTGCAACCAGGCTCCCGGAAAAATAACATTGACTTTGCCAGGTGTGTAACTGGAGGTTCACTGCATCTGTTTGGTCTACCCAGACACTCATATTCCATAATCCCTGGGGCCTTATGGGGAAGGTCCCCCCGACAAAGACATCAGGAAATGCTACTGTAATTGTATCAACACTGCTAGCATCTGTAAAGATGTTTTTGGTTCTTTCACACACACACACAAAAAGTATTTTCAGGAACAGAAACAGGGTTAAATACTATTCTTTTTCTTGCTCTAATGTTAGTAGTGTATCATTCTACCCCATAGTAACTACCGGACTTAAAATATTAAACCTATCTTTTAAATTATAGCCCCTACTGAATCACACGCAAAAAATTCCCCGCTTTTCCTTGTTGTTACTCAGCCAACACATATCTACGTGCATGTAAAATAAAATACTGAACAGTACTTGATTACTGAAAAATGAAAGCCTTCTAAATCACTCACAATGAACGGTACCTGCAAATAAGCGTCTGAAAATACTCACCACGTATCATCTTAGGACACCTCAAATTAAGCTTAATTTACAAAATGAAGACTTTACCTTTGAGCTACACCAGTTTATGAGTGAGGGAGACATACACCTCCCTACGTCGGAACCTTGAAAATTTTAAACTGTGGACTGAAAAAAAACCCCAAAACATTTCCTAAAACACGATTGTGATTTACCACATAAGTAGCAAAAAGTCAGTACTGCACTTGTACGTATACAGGTATGTACTCACTACGCTGCATTAAATTCCACATGCATTTTATGTATCTATTATACATGCTATTACAGTCAGATTTTGGTCACTCCTGAACAAGGCCTCACCATTTAATTGTCATTGCCAAATGTCTTCTTCCTGTTTTCAGCAAATATGCAGGGGTAACCTTTTTTTATCCCAGCACAGGCCTGCAACCTCAGTGTGGTCCTCTGACCCCAAGTGCTGCATCCTCCTGAAGCTTCTCCCACCACAAAGGTGACCAGAGGCAAGGACCAGTCCTGACAGAGCGTCTGAGCTTTGGGTTCATAGGGGACCTAACTCCAGAGTCATTTCACAGCACTTAACTTGAATTAGTTTCAACAGAAATCCTGCAGGCAAAGCAGCTGTAGGACTACGTACAGTATCACCTTTCCTGTAACCAAAAGTTGTATCTCTTCCTGGATTCACATACTAATATGTCACTGAAAAAGAATTTAATCTGTTCATTTTTAGGCAAACACTGCACAGCTTTTTTGTTCTTCTGGTTGCCTCACAGAACTGAATTTTCCTCTGCACATCATGAGTTGCAGGCTAATGAAGCCATCACAGGAATGAACCGAAGTGAGAGCTCCAGTAACCTGGGAGCAAATGCTCCAAGTACTCACTGTGGAATGAATGTAAATAAACTGAACTATAGTATGATCTTGGGGTAGGGCCAAGCAACAAGCCCAGACCTTTTTGTAACAGCTACGCAGTGTCTTGGCTTACTATAAATGTAGGCAGCATGTCAGATTTGGACTGGTTCCAGGCTGAAAGCTCCTCATGCTGGGCATGTTGGCTGCAAGCAGTCTCCAGCCTAATGTGACAAACAACCTGAGCACTCTGGAACAAACAACTTGTTCTCAGTTGATAAGGACACTGGCCCATTTCCTCCTGCATCTCTTTTATGTTGTTTAGCTATCCCAGATGTAGGAAGAGAAATAACAGAGTCTAATCTCTTGCACCACACACTCTCCTCCCAGCATAGCAGACTATAAGTAACAGTAGCACGCCTCACTACTGATACCTCTGCTGTCGAGTAGAGGTGAGAAAATCCAAAGTAAGCATCCACAGCACAGCAACCCTTTCAGTTTTGCTATATCTAACATCACGGTTTCTCCCATCTACACAAACAGTTTTCAGTTTCATCACCCAGAAGCCTCAGGCATCAGCTTGCTCCTGATGCAGCTGGGTGCACTTGTATGTTCCACAAACATCCTTACCCAGTTTCACACAAGCAAAAATAAGTACTGGACAGGAGAAAACAAAAAAGAGCGATCAAAAGCCACAAATACAGCCAGTTCAGATTTAATCTGTTATAATCCCCATTACTAGTCTGCCATTTCCCAGCCTGAGTCTTTCAAGTCAGGCAGCCTTAAACCTCTTGCTGCCAAAAAAAAGCAGCCTGGCTTTGTGACGTACTTAGCTGTAGCTGAAGTCTGTGGGATGTGCAAGCGCTCTGCACTTCAAATTCTCTCTCTTTTAAAAATATATGTATTTTAAAGGTGCCTAACATTAGAAGCCTGAATTTGAAAATTCAGACCCCAATTTTTATCGCTCTCATTTTAATCACAACTAACAACTCAGTCTATACCTTTGTGGACAATCACCTATCATTTGGACATGATTTTCTTGCTCACAGGTTTCTACTGCACTAATGCCAAGTGCTTTCAGATACAAATTGCATCTAAGAGCAGATTAATTTGTGGTGGATGTTGAGTTAGTTAATCAGTTTTAAAAGGATTTTTCAGCTTTGCAATAAAATGCTCATGTTTTAGGCATAAAAGTGTGCAAAATTATACTCTTTCGTCATGCATTTTTAGCAAAACTGCACTTAGAAGAATAAAGTGAGATTGTTCCAGACATTCTCTTATTACAACAAAAAAAAGGACCAAACCCTAGGTAAGTGTCCTGAAGTCTTATTACAGCTACGTGATATAGTACAGTCTAAATACTCATCCTTGTCAACAGGATGGCAACCAACAAGTTACACTCCCAACGCTCTGCAGATATTAAAATATCAGGGACAGGCACAGTGTTATTTATCATGATTAAAATACTTTAAATCAAACCCAGGAGAGGTCTTGAAGTTCCATTAAAACTGCCACATAATACAAAAATGTCTCTAACATTTGGCTTCGTTCATCCACGATAATTAGGTGAGATTTTATGATGCTCATCACATGCTTGCTCAGTGGTTCTCCAAGGCTCTTAGCACCTCTCTGTAGAGCATTAAGACACTTCTGTGTGGCTTTAGAAACAAAGACAGCTTCTAGCCGGGTTTAAATGTTTTGTCTTAGCAAGTGTGATCAGATGTAGTAATTCTATCACACTGAAGTTCTGTGTTTTCTGATTAGTAACTGAACAGGGCCCTCTGGCACAGATTTAATAATGTTCCAGGCATCGTAATGCATGAGGCCAAGTAACGATTTTCCACTAACAGCAAGAATTTCGTCTCCACTTTCTATGTTTCCAGACTGCTCCGCAGCACCACCTAGGAGCAAAAGAGGGAAAAAAGTCAGTGTAAGAAAACAAAACAAAATCAAAACCCACAGGGGGGAAAAAAAAAAAAAAAAGTAAACCCACAAAAATTTTGCTTTCCACTGCGATGAACGCAAATAAACCATTTTTCCCAACAGTGGCAATTTCAGTACAAATCAGTTATGTTCAGCTCAGCTCCAGCAACCTATCCCATGCTGCACCTCACAGAAAACATTAGTTTAACCAAGATAAATTGTTATTCTCAGACATACATCTGTTTTTGAAGGAAGCAGCATGAGTGCATGAAATACGCTGTATGTTATGCATGTAGTTGTACAAAACGTGGTTGATTAAACAAACATAGAGGTTGTATATGGCTTGGAGGTTTTTTCTCTAATGAAATTTTAATAAGCAAATAATGCCGCAAATTATAAAACCCAGGTAACAGCGATGAACAAATGAAACACAGCAAACTTAGGACAAGCACACAAGACACAGAAACAGCTCCTAGAGAGGGGTGCACCCTTCGCTGCCCTTGATGAAAGTATGTTTTCTATAAAGATAATTTAACTAACACCAGCCATTGCAGGGAGGGGAAAAGGATGGTATCTAATAATATAAATTAATGAGGAGCTCAAAAATTAAATATGCCCTTTACCCTTAGAATCATTTTCTAATGAGGGGAAAACAAACACACAGAAAATTATTCAGAGCAATTCAGAAATTAACAGTGTGATTTTTCTCTTCCTTGATGAGAGAATAAACCACAGAAAAGTAATCTTGTAAAAATGCTGTGCACCTGCAGCTTCTTTGAGAGTTTCAGCTTCCTTTAGAAAGTGCTGTATTTTTCACTGAACTGAATCACAGACTAAGACATATTAAAATGACAGTTCTGGGATCAGTTTCCTTTCTATGCACGGTCCATATAAGTTTATTTACCCACTGACAAACAAAGCATCCAAGAGTGGCATTTTTTAACACCAACATCATATAGTCTTAGTGAAAGCTAATACTGATATCTAACAGAAAGAAAAAAAAAAAGAAAAAAGTTATAATTAATAATTGGGTATAATGCAGGATGTGCTTCAGAACCACACTGATTATCTGCACTGTGCTTTTCTTAGAAAAGAGAACTGCGTAAGGCATGAACTTCTCAAACTGTTATATATGATATTGCTGCTGTAATTTAATGTCTAATAATAGTGGGCAAGCCCAGGAAGGAACTGCATCATATCTGGTAAATCAGATTGCTCCACATGCTAGCAGATGCAATCCCAGGAGGGTTTCTTTAAATGACCACTTTGGCTAGTAAGTGGTAAGAAATGAGGGCCACAAAACCCATTCTTGTTTCAAGAAAACTAATGATCTCAACAATTAAAATATCTGTATAATGCACTAAAGGAAAATTGGGATAATATTCACTGCATGCTTGTAGTACCTTTAAATATTCTTTTCACAAGCAAGGGCCTATCTCCAGCAATGGAAGCTTTTCCACCATCAAGACTGAATCCCAAGCCAGCAGAGGTTTTCAGTAATTCAACGCAGATGACATCATTCATATCCAGGTTTGGATCTGTGACAGAATATACACATAACATACTGTTATGCAGTTAACAGTAAATTGCAAGTTGTGTTTGGTTGGGTTTGTTTTTGCTGCAGTGACAAAGCAAGTCAGAGTTCAGTTCATATTCAGACTAGAACATGTTGTCACCCAGTTTCTCAGAAGTGAATGCATATTACTGCAGCTGTGAAGGGGACACAGTACAAAATGCATTTATGCACAGAGACATTTTAATATTGTATGTTCAACAAAAACCTGCCAAGGCTTTCCTCCCTCTCCCCCTCCCTCCAAAGTAAAGCTTAGCAAATTTAGCAAAGACTCTAAACATCAACAAAACAACAGAAAAAATTACAAAAACAGTGAGTGGAGAGCATTTCTTTTTCTTTAATTCATTCCCACTGTTTATTCTACGAATCACATCTTTTTAAATAGTAATAAATGAAACATTACATTAAACAAACATGTTCTATCCTCTTCAAGAAACATTTGTAATTGCTCACTAGTGTGAAGAATTGTTTCTGGTGTAATATCTGTGAAAATAACCATAAATACCTCTAGGGTGCATCCCTACACAGCAGATACTTTTAGAATGCAATATTGCTGTAGTTGACAAAATATTATTTTGCTGAGAGGGAAATAAATCTACCATTTTGGAAAACAAGATCCTTTTTGCCCTGTGTGAATGTAAAAATTATGCAGTCTGCATTATCACAAATTACTGCTACCATCATCTCAGACAACTTTAAATGTTATCTAAAATATCTGAAGATGTGCTTTGCCTCACAGGATGGAAACACGTTGTTAATAACCCGGTAATATGTTGTTTATGAGATAACGTTGCCCCCTAGTGCCTGCTTCCAGCAGATATTCCGCATCTGTCAACGTGAAGAAGCAGGGAGTTTCGGGTAGAACTGAATTCTGGATTAATTACATATATTATATCCATGGGAGCAATTCCAGAAAGGCTGATCCATTAATTTACAGAGTGCTTCATATTTCTTTTAAGCTGTATTACAAAGCTGTAATATAAAATGTGGTGAAAGCATAAGATGAGAAAAACTGCTACAGAAACAAACGAACAGTAATGATTACATCCAGTGGGTTAAAAATGGGTGAGTGGCAGCTCCATGTCCTGGTTTTGGGGTGCTCTGAGCTAGGTGCCTAGTATTGCAGGGAATGCAGGGGAAGACACATCACCAAATCTCTCAGCATAGCCACTGCCCACTCCCTCCCTGGGACACTGCAGCAGAGCAGGACTGAAGTATACAGGCACTAAAGGGTTTTGCGTCTTAGTTCTACAAAAAACTTTGATAGATCTGTTTGTAACTCCCCAAGCGCAGCTTTCACACTGAAATGCTGTCTTATTCCCAAATACGAACTCACTATTCCACTGATACACTTCCACTTATTTATCCCTAGTTTCCTGTGCAATGGCTGACGTCAATTGGGTTTAGCTCCACTTACTCTAATATCAAATTATTTTTTCTATGTTTTTAGTAGAAACGGTATGAAATCTGCTATTGTGAAGAGCAAGTTTAGTCTCTATGTATAACAAACTGCAGGGTTTGAGATATTCCTTGAGGTTGTTGAGGTTTCTTGTTTGCTTGGTTTTCTTTCGTTGGGGCTTTTTGTATGTTTTGTTTTGTTTTGTTTTTCTTTTTTGGTTATTTGCTTTCTTGCACTGACTACTGTTATTGCTTAAAAGGAGTTTATCCTGGATTGGAATAACATGTGGAATCACTAACTTTAGTAGACATTGGATTAGGCCCTAAATGCCCTTCTAAGTTTCTCCCTAGTTATGATATTTAAAAAGCCAACCCAAACTGCATTTAGGCTCCAAAGAGAACAAATAAAATTTAAAGGTAATTTCATTTGCTCCCTTCAATCACATAAGGCACAGATGCTTTTAATCTAAAACACATGGACATTTTTCCCTTCAGTCTGCTCTGCAAGGGAATCCTTCCAACTGTTCTTGGACAAAGATCATACCTGTTCCTATTTCCATGGAAACATCCTTTCCAGACCCCACACATTTTCTGCCAGTAGCTGATATCTCAAGTCTGGAGGAATTGTTTGCTTTGTCTTTTTCCTTCTGGATGACAATGACCGCATATCTGTATAGTCTCGCCTGATGAAGAGTATTCAAGACATCCCCATGGACTGAGTTCTCAAGAGACTTGCCATTGATTGACAGAACAAGATCTCCTCGATGAATAGTCCCTTCTTGAGATGCCACTCCCTTTGAAAACACCCTGTGGACCTACAAGAAAGATTTTAACTTCAGGACGCTTTAACCTCATGACCACACACACTGTTCTACAGACCAAAGGTAGCATGGAGACCATGCCAACGTTTGCAACCAGTGCTCACTGCCCAGATACCAAGCACACAACATTTGTTCTAACAAACATCCTCAAATACTAAGGCCTAAATGACTGGACAAAAACTGCAGTTCAGGATGGGGGAGGAAAAGATGCTATTATTGCATGGTTATTTCTAACTCAAAGACAACCAAAATCACTTAGAGAATTGTCATGGTTTAACCCCAGCTGGCAACAAAGCACCACGTAGCTGCTTGCTCACTCCTCCCAACCATGGTGGGATGGGAAGGAGAATCAGAAGAAGGTAAAACCCATGGGTTGAGAAAGCAACAGTTTAATAACTCAAAATACAATATAATACTAATGTGAGTAATAATAATTGTAATGAAAAGGGAGATTAACAAAAAGAGAACTAAAACTCAACAATAAAACCCCAAGTGGTGCACAGTGAAACTGCTCACCATGTAGTCCATGAGCAACAATCAGTAAGTCCCTCCCCAGCAAACTCCCTCCAGTTTATATACTGAGCATAATGTTATATGATATAGAATGTCCCCTTGGACAGTTTGCGTCAGCTGTCCTGGCTATGTCCCCTCCTAACTTCTTGTGTTGCTCCAGCCTTCTCGCTGGTAGGGCATGAGAAGCTGGGAAGTTCTTGACTTAGTATAAACACTACTTGGCAACAACTAAACATCGGTGTGTACCAAAATTATTCTCACCCTAAATATAAAACACAGCACTGTAGCAGCTACTTTACCCTCTGCCCAGCTACTTTACTTTTACTTGGAGCACAAGCCTTATGAGGAATGGCTGAGGGAACTGGTGTTGTTTAGTCTGGAGAAGGCTCAGGGGGAACCTTGTTGCCCTCTACAACTACCTGAAAGGAGGACGGAGAAGGTAGGTGGCTGGTCTCTTTTCCCAAGTAACAAGTGATACAACAAGAAGTAATAGCCTCAAGTTGCACCAAGATTGGATATTAGGAAAAATTTCTTCACAGAGAGGGTGCTCAGGCATTGGAACAGGCTGCCCAGGGCACCTGTAGAGTCACCATCTATAGAAGTGTTCACAAACTGTGTAGATGAGGCCCTTTGTGACATGGTTCAGTGGTGGACTTGTCAGTCCTCGGGTAATGGTTGGACGTGGTGATCTTAAAGGTCTTTCCCAACCTGACTGATTCAACGATTCTATGATTCTAAGAAGAAAATTAACTCTATCCCAGACAAAACCAGGGTACATCGCAAAACTGTAACATCACAAATCACTTACACCTTCACTGAACTCTTCAGAGTGTTCAAATTAACATACTTCAAGTGACAGGTTAAACCCATAGCTATGCTACAGCAAACACGAAGAATAGGTTTGCATTGTGCAACACCCACTCCCCAAATTCCCACTGACTAGGACACGTATCCTGTGCTGTTTTCAAATGCACATTTCTAAGTGGTGCATAGCATCTGTGCACTGAAAGGCTCTAACTGCAGCTGTACAAGTATTTAGCTGAACATCTCAATTTGGCTGATAAATATCATGCAAATAGATGCAAAAGGATGATTCAGTGGATTGAAATGCATTTTTTCTAGAGAAAAAAAATCAGCTCTCCCCAAAAAACCTCTATTCAGAGCAGATTAAACTTCAAGTAAAATCCAGCAAGTGCAGCTGAGACTTAGATGTGTGCCACTTACGGAAAGGAACTGACTGAAAGACTAAAAACCCTGTATTTAAAGACTTGCCTATAAGGCACTGTAATTTTAGCAGCCAGAATGTGGTTTGAGGCAGCAAATCTCTGCACACAATTCTGCATGGCATTTTCTCTAGGAATTTATCCTAATACCCAGATTAACAGCGAGGAATCAGATGCCTTTTGGCTCCCGTTCCTTCCTGTTGCAGGGCCATGCTGAGATGGGCACCTGCCACAATTCTACAGATCCAAGAAGATAAATTTCCAGCTATCATAAGCAGACATTCAAAGCAGGAATAACAGCTTCAATAATAGATATTGACACCCACATGCAAGAGGTAAATGGAATACGGGGGTCATCTCCAAAATACCTGCTGCTTTCCCTCAGATGCTCAGCTCCTCAGTACCTTGAAGCTCACCAGGCATTTCTATTTCTGCACCCAAGTGTGGGCAGAACAGCCCATCTAAGCAGCTCAGCATCCAGTGGCAACCCTAAATCCAGTGGGGACCCAGAATCCCAGTAGGTCAAGAATATTAAAATGTTCCCTACCCAAGAAGCATGCTTCACACACAGTGAACAAAGAGAAAGAGCAGGAGCTGATGCTTTTTTGGTCTCATGGCTAATGGTATTCAGAAGAAAGATCTCATTAGCTACTCTGCCTGAGAGAGCTCAAGATCCTAATTTTAGGTAGTTTCCCAGTCTCTGGAGTGGGACACTGCTGAGCCTTCCTCCTGGTTGCAGCTGCCACTGCAAGTTGCCAGGCCAGAGACAGGGAACACAATCTTTACTACAAAAGAAGCAGAAGTAAAGTTCCCTAGACTGTGACCATGTTTCAACTCAACCACTGTTTAATGTAAGATATATTTCATAGATTTATATCACAAAATCATAGAATGGTTTGGGTTAGAAGGGACCTTAAAGCTCACCTACTTCCAACCTCCCTTCTCTAGTGGAAGGGATACCTTTCACTAGACCAGGTTGCTCCAAGTGCTGTCCAACCTGGCCCTGAACACTGCCAGGGATGGGGCATCCACAGATACTCTGGACAATCTGTTCCAGTGTCTCACCACTGGTCTTGTCTAAGACCAAAAACCAAAAAATTCTTGCAAGGGTTGCCGCAGGCTCAAGAGACCCGAGGACATACTCTTCTTCTAATCTCAGAATCTAATGAATCTCTCTCTTTCAGCATAGAATTTAAATTGTCTGTAAAGATATTGTAAAGAAATTGCCATATGGGACACTGGTGGTCTTGTATTTTTCCACCTCACTGATCTGTTTTTGAACAGCATAAAAAGTGCTTTGCATGATTTTTTACCCACGAACATCACTTAATGGCACCACACAATACCTTTGGTTTAGAATGCTGTATAACATTATATGCTTATACATAATATACATAATATTTTTTATATATATACATATAAAATATACATAAGCTGTATAAAAAAACCCAAAACAACACCATCATCTACTGACCACCCACATGTCTTAATAACATCAGAACAAATTTGTGATGTGAAATCCAGAATATTTGCTGAAGTCTGAAACAGGATTTGCAAAATCCTTCAAAAACTTTGCTGTGGAGTTTACCTTCAAGGGCTGGGAATGAGGATTCAGATCTAGCCAATCCCATTCAGTAGCAGACTTTTAAAGACTGAAGACATAACTGACATCCCTCTCCAATAATAAGAATTACGCTTCCCAGACACTGTGATTTCAGTAGCAGATGGTATGCAGCCACCTCTGAGAGACACTGTTTTATGACTGTGAATGACTTGCGATGAGTCTGGATAAATGGGCACTTGATCTAATGACCAGCCTCCTTTAAAGTGAGCTTTGTAAAAATATGACTTGCAGCATCACTTACTGTGACCAATTTCTGTTCCAGATCTGTTCCTCCAGCAACACTAAATCCCAGGCCAGCTCCTTCTTCTTTGTGCAAGACTACAAAGTATGCGTCTTCTTTGCTCTAGCAGAAAAATGGAGGTGAAGAGGATGGAAAAGGAGAAGAAAACAAAACCAAAGATCAAGACCAAGGTCCTGCACAAATGACAAATTCTCAGTACCCAACTCAAGGAATTGAAACTGAGACATTAAATGCATTTCTGCTCTCCACAGATGAGTAGCAGCTATATAGAACTCCTCAGGTGACAGCAAAGGTTTCTTCAGTCAGTTCAAGGCTAGAAAGAAAACTTAAAATTAAGATGGTGGAAGGGTATTAGAGCCTGAGCAGCCTAATTTTCACAGGCGGTAAGCAACTGCATTGCTTGACATTTTGCAGTCAAAACTGAATAGTGCCCATTCACTTTCTGGACTAAGTACTGTACTTTCCAGGGAATTACTAACACTATAGTTATTGATTTCTTCTTCCCCTTGAAAGGCAGCTACAAAGATATAATGCAGGGCAGTTGCATTAACTTCTTCTCAGCAGTGCTGGACAGGAACAGTGGCTAAAAATTGAAGCTGGAGAAGGTTAGATGGGGCAGCAGGAAAAACTGTTTCACTTGGAAGATGAAGGTAAGGAGTCTGTTAGAGATCCAAAGGGGACTAAGCTGGCTGTTTTGGAAATAGGAGCACCTAGCACAGGAAAGAGACTGGTGCAGGGCTGAACTTGGCTCCAGACCAGAACAAAGGTGTAAAGCCGATTTCTTCGAAGGGATGGCCTGCTGCCAAAATACAGAATTTGCTGTGAGAAAAAAGTAGTCCCATCCAGCAAGTCTGGTGCTGTCTTCTGAACAGTTATTAGGACAAAACCAGATGCTGTTACAGAAACCACATTTTGTGGTGTAAGGGGGACTATAAGCAGGCATTTGGTGTAGCAAGGGGACATTAAACATCAGTGGGGCAGAGCATGAGAAGTGGAGAGTAGAAAGCAGGGGTCTCAGCTTTTCCAATCCAACATAAGTCATTTCCAGAAACTGCCAATGCTAATGGGACGTCACTAGAAACTAACCTATAATCTTTTTAGCATGAAATGACACATTTAGTTCACTAAACTGGTATTTTAACTCAGTGTTTGCCTTTTAATTGTTTCAAATATCGCAGAGAACCATAGATTGCGAAATGCCAGTCAAATATTTGGTCTTGCTGTGTGCTTTTTTGTGGCCCTGGAAGGTTTTCTGCATTAGAGGCGTCCCTGCACTGCACAGAACCAATGTCAGAAACTGATGCCACCCTGCTTCACATCACTGATCCATGAGTGCTTAAGGATAGAGGAGCAGTCAGGGCTGAACTTCTTAGCCCACAGGCTTTTGTAGATGTTAAGACCCTTCTTAACTGCACTCAAGTGAGAAAAGCTTTATGTTAGGCCAGAAATAATAAAATCAATTAAAAAACTAGGCTAGCCCCTTTCAAAAAAGCAGTGAGGGTAATGGAAACATACATGTATCTTTGATCGTTAAGTGTTATAGTAACCCTTTTTGTTTAAAAGATCAAGTTCTTTCCAACCCTTGATACCATAACTTACTCTGCTTAGACTGGGAAAGAAGAAAATAGAAACAACAGAGGCTCACATATTAGAGGGTTGTGTGAGCACTACACATCCTAGGCCAGTCAGCAACACAGTCTGAATCCTGCCTTCCCATTGTTCAGGTCATGCATTTCCTCCCTCCCCAGTTCTCATTGCTGTCCTTTGCTAACATGTGTACTGTGGGGCACAGAGACCTGGCTATGGATGCTTATTGCTTTACTTGGCCACATAGTAGACATTCAAGGCTTCCAGTGATTATCTTTGTTTAGCCTCCTAGCCAAAGATCATTGGTCATAGAGATTTAAACAATAAAATGCCTGTATAGTTCCCTTTATTTTTATTTTCTTTTATTTAGTAGTAGCACTTACTAAATGCTAGCAGTAAATTCAGCCCTGTTCAGAGCAAAAGATGATGACATACTCTTTCCG